TTGTGGCACTGAAGTCAGGGGTCAGCGAGCCCAGTGGAGAACAGGGCCGATGTGGAGACCTGACGCCGGTAACTCTGCTAGACACCACCCATCAGGCATTCCAAGCTGGCATTCAAACTTCAACCTGGCCTCCTGTTGGTTTCTCTGGAATCTTGGTAGATGCCCTGATGATATTGTAACACATTGGTTCTGCATTTTTGAAGATCCACTGCAACATGGGTCCAACCAAATCTTGATAACACACACATAGGAATACCTGATTTTGGACTCTTTAGGTTTTCTGACTGGAGAAGATAAAATTACCCTGTCTCGTATGTTTGATAGAGTAACAAACAATTGACTATGACACATAAATACGGACTTGCTATACCTTCATACAGTAATTATAAAATGTTAAATTTCTAACCAATAAGTTATCCATTTTTATTTTCAAATTTAATTGCTTTCATATTAAAAAATCACAGCAAATGAGATGCAAAAATTAGCTCCTACCTGTTGAATTACTATTTTCCATAATTTTGAAGAAGTCAGTTTGATGCAAGAGAGGAGTGACCTTATGAAGGTCAATGCTTGGTCACTTAGAAGGAGTGACCTTCCAAGTACAGGAAAAGCTAGGTAGTGACTCACTGGTGGTATAGCACAAAATTCTGCAAAAGATTTTATAGGTTATGAGTTAATACCAAATAAATGGTGCTGTTTTATTCATCACAAGGATCCAAGTCAGACAACAAAAATTGGACCATTCACTACAGTGAGAGACCCTTTAGTAAAATTGTTCTTTTCTGTCTCCATAAATTCATGGTCTTTTGGCTTGGATGACATAGTTCAGGAGGAATGTTTCTACCAGGATAAACACAAATATCCACTGAACTGCAATCTAAAACCACTACTTACTATTTTGAGCTCTTTCTTTCTCCAAATAATCCCAAAATGTTAGGATATTCTGCTTTTGATAAATTTTTATCTACATACTAAAAGAAACCGGAGTGTTTGTCCACAATTGAGATATGAGAGAAAATTCTAGGATGTAAGAGATTCCTTTGGCCATCTTTTTGTGTCATCATGATCTGTTACTATATTCAGAGGAAAACTTTCATAATTCAATCCAGGGAGAACTCTGGCACAGATCCTTTTGTTCTTACACCAAACAACAAACTAGGACTACTTTTATTACCAAAGGTATAATAAACATATAATAATTTAGTAAAAGGACATAAATATTAGTTGACTGGGTTAGAAGTGAAAAATATAATTTTCATAAATATTTTCTTCTTTTTCAGTGTGTCTCAGATACCTTGGTTTTTTTTTTTCTGTCCTATTATTTACTCCTGAAGAAAGCAGATGGACTTGGTCCACCTGGGATGGCATAATCTGATATCTTAAGGGACTGATAAAAAAAGCCTAATGAAATTTTAATTTACTCTCTATATATACAATGCTGAAAGGGTAAAAACCTGTCACCTGTTTCTCACTGGCACTATTTCCCTGCTCTGCTTCTCACAACTGTGAACTAAGCATGTTGGCCATCATGCCCTCCTGTCATAATGTTATTGTCTCAGTCCCTCGTGCACATATAGTGGGATACTTTCAAACAGGAACTAAATTAAATCAGTTTTCCTTTATGCTTTGTGTTTCAGGTATTATGTTTCAGTGTCAACAGAATTTATTAATGCTAAAAAAAATTCTACCAAAAGTAGGATTGTTGTTGTGACTGTATCAAACCTAGTGGTTCAAGTCTTTGAAGCAGGCTTGTGGAAGACGTCCAGAAATGTTTTCAGATGCATTCTAAAATACTCTAAGTAGAGCCTCATTCATTATTCTTATCAAAAACCAAGGGTCAAAATACAGATAATAAACATAGTATTCAGGGGTTTCAGCAGAGAGCAGAAATTACAATAGAAAATTTTAAGAGCCAAAATTTAGTGACTCCTAAAGGAGCAATATTACAATTTATAGAAAGAAATTTCTACATCCAAAATAAGAGAAAACTTTAAAGTAATTTAAAGAAACAGCCAAAGAAAGTAGTAAAGAAAGAACAAACTAAACCAAAATTGTAGAAAGAAAGAAATAATAAGCAGAGAACCAGTAGATGAAAAAGGATATATAGATATGATACAAATATCAAGTAATCACAAAACTGGCTGTATGAAAAGATAAAACTTTAACTAGAATAAGAGAGAAATTCAACTAAATCATATATAAAAAGTTAATACTCAACTAATATCAGAGAAACAGGAAGAATCATTAAAACTACTTTTAAAAACTCAGTGCCAATAAGTTTAAAAATACAGAAATTAATAAATTTTAAAATGCATCGAACCAACCAAAATTATAACCTGAATATAAACAAAAATTGAACAGGCCAATGAGTAATAATAGTACTTAATCTACAATGAGGTTTTTCAAAAATGAAGGCCATGTAATAGTTGCTTTTCTGTTGTTGGGACAAGATACAACAATCACAATTTGAAGAAAGTAAGCTTCTCAGAAAGCTAGCCTGTTCAAGTCTGTTTAAATCTGTACAGAATTTTAGTGGGCTCACAGTTTCTTCAACAGTTCAAATTTGGGTGACTCCAAGGCCAGAAAACATGGTGGAAGGGCCAAGGTAGAGGGTCACAATTCATCTTAGGTCAGTCAAGAAGGAGAGAGAGAGAAGAGAGGAGCCACAGACAACAAAAATAATCCCTTACATGCTCTGCCCTCAGTGACCCACCCCTTTGACTTGGTCCCACCTTTCAGTGTGAGAACTGAAGGACATTTTAGATCTAAATCTTAAAAGTCAAGAACAAGTTGATCTTTCAGATCAACTTTATATCATTCAAAGTAATTGAACTACTACAAAATATTGAAAGGCAGGAATCTCTTCCAAAAACACACTAAGATGTCAAATTTACATGTGTACCAAAAGGAGATCAGAATGTTATGAATAAGTAAAACTGCAAGATAATATCTCTGATGAACACTTACGTAAAAATTCTAAATATAATGCAAGTAAGCTGGCTGAACAGTTAATAATTGTACACTGTTGTCAAGGAGAATTTATTTAAACTATATAAGGGAAGTTCAACAAACACAAATTGGTAAATATACTTCATTATACCAAAGAAGGAAAGATAATCAAATGATAACAATTGTTGCAGAAAAAAATGTTCACTGAAGTTCTCCATTCATTATTTTGAAAAATCTTAAAAATTTTATGTAAGAAAAAACATACCTCAACACAATAAAGATTAACTGTATAATAATTCAATAGCCTAATGGAACTAAATGGGGAAAAACTGGAAGCCATGACACCAGTGTGTGCAGCAAAATGACTATCACCTTCCCCATAGGTATTTATGAATGGCCTGGAACACCTAGCCAAGGCAATTAGGCAAGATAAAGTGGTAACAATCATCCAAACAAGAAAGGAGGAAATCAATTTATCCTTATTTATAGATGATATAATTTAGTATGTCCAAAAATACAAAGACATCTCCAAAGGGATAACATAATGAACTGAGTAATAATGTAGAATATAAATTAACAGACAAACATAAAAATTGTTTTGCATGCTTGTAACAAATTTGTTGAGAAACAAATCAAGAAAATGATTTTATTTACAATGGTCTAAAAAACAAATATGTGGGATTAATTTTAACTTAAAAACTAAAATCTCAGCAGTGAAAAATACAGAACATATGAGAGATTTTCAAGATAATATGAAAGGTGATTAGAAACCTAGATTTACTGGTTGAAAGAATTAAAATGTCATGCAACTCAGATATAATACAATCCCAATCAAAATACAAAAAGTTCTTCACAGAAATAGAAAAAAAAAAAAAAATCCTCAAACTTTTGGGGCACATAGGAGAGGGAGGATACTCAAGCATAACACAGTAAGACATGTTACCAAGAACCAAAATAAATAGTCTAATAAGATGACAAATTAAGTTATCTGATTGTAGGAATTCAGAAAATTTTAGTCATTTGATTGAGAGCAATTTTATCATTTAATACATTTAAGATCACAAAACAATTGAAAGTATGTTGGAAATATGTTAACATAGTGGAAAAGAGAATGAAAGAACATATTCCAAGTGACTGGAGCACAGTTGCTATACATGTATTGTGTGTATTCAAATGTAACCCATATTTCTTGTACAGCACCTAATAAAAGTTTTAAAACAGAGAAGACCTGGGAGACCAAGATGGTCAAAAAGTAATCAGCAGACAAAGCGCCTCTTGGAGAGTCACCATCTAGACACTGGAATACAGTAAAGTGAGGAAGACAAGAAGAAGGAAAGTGAGTCATCTGGAAACAGGAAGAATCTGAAGCATGAATTTAAGCCAATGGAGATATTGAAGAGAACTTCAATAAGTAAGAAAAAGATAGCTGGTGACATTTCACCCTGAGATGTAAGTCACTACACAAGAGGAGTGGTTCCAACATGCAGACACATGCTGATATGCTGGTGACCTCAGCGGCCTTCAGAGAGAGATGCAGCAGGGGAGGGGACAGTGGACCTGAAGGACTGCACTGGCTGGCAATGCGTGCGGAGGGCTCAGTCCTCCCACAGAAGAGAGCAATTGGCCCAGAGCCATCTTTGACATGGACCAGCTGAGATCAATTTCGAAACTGCTGGCGTTTCTATCTAGTGGCTTCCAGCTGGGCTAGACCCTCAGAATATGCTTGGACAGCAGCATGTGGAATGAATCTCATTTTAACCAGAAAGTGCAGGTTTAATGAGATTATCTACTGCCTCACCAATAAACTGCTGCTGGCTTGCTGGAAGATTGTCATGGAAACTTGAAAGTGGATTTTTTTCTTTCCTCTTTCTTGTTTGTGTTTTGTTGTGGTGAGATTGTTTCTGTTTTCTGATTTTTGTTTTAATTTTATTGAAATTAAATTAAATTAAATTAAATTTTTATTGTTTGATCTTGTTTTTATGAGTAGGGATGAGTTTATGGTTATGGTTCTGTTCTGTTGTTTTTAACTCTTTTTTTCTCATTCTTTCCAGTATTCTGCACCAGTTTGCCAAAGTTAGTGTGATCCCCTTTATCCTCCACCCTTACTTGTAATCTCTTCCTTTTTTCCACTTCTCCATTTTTCCTTAATCCGTAATAAAAATTAACCATGAGGACAAAATTGACATATTAAGGACTTGTATACGGCATGTAATTTTCTGGGTTGTTCAAATTTTGTTATGTAACCAAAAAATCTATTTTATATTGTTAAAAGTAGCAAATAATGGTTTGCTCAGTTTGTCATTTTCTACACTGTGTGTGATGCTATTGGTACCATTATAGCCCAAAGTGACATAATTGTTATAAACAACTGGTCCTCCTGGTATTCTATGACTTAGACTGAATAAGTATCATAGAAAATACTTTGACAGAGTGCCAAAGAAGCAACAACTTCTCATTGCCAACAAATTCAAGAGGTACAATCTCTCAATAGACTCAAAACTCCAAAACCAGCTATACTGGAAGATACCCCAGAGAAGTAGCCATTTAGTAAATGTCTTCAATACTAGCAATAAAGCACCATACTGTAGATAATTTACAAGCATTATTCCAGAAATTAAACTAAGGAAAGAAAATAAGAAGATACTTCAACAAGATGCAACCACATACATTGAGTTCCCCAAAGACAAAGCCAGGGGCAATGATGTGGGAAAGTCTGAAAGCCCATCAGTGATCTCTCTGAAGTGGTTACAGAAGAGCAATTGAATTAGGCTCTGGAAAAAAATCAAACCAGAAATGGTTTCTCAGGTAACTGCAGAGATGGTGTCCACAATAAAGATGGTGCTTAGTGATTCTAGAATAGATACAGATTAAAAATAGATGAGCCTAAGAAAATTATGGAATTCATGAATGAACAGCATAGGAAAGAAGTGAAATTCATAAAGTAGATTAAAGCATATATTCAGGAAAATAAAAATTCTATTGAAAGTACACACAGCAAATTAAGCCAATGTGAGGGCAGGGTCTAAGATAGAAGACAGGCTTGTTGTTTCATAAATATCAAATAACAACAAAGGAAGCTAGCGGTTACTAGATGAGACAAAAATAATTTAATATTGATTGGAGTCTACGAAAAAAGCAGGAGGTAACACAAATAATTTTTAAGAAACTGCTCACAGACATCTTGGCAGAAAACTTTGTGGATAAAGAAAAAAATTGAACATGCAGATAATTGAGATAGTAGGAACTCCAGTTAATTATGATAGAAAACAATCTAAAGTAAGGCATAGTATAGTCAAGAATCCTAAAATTCAACACAAAATAGAATCTAAAAACCTGTTAGGGATTAGAAAAATAGCCTATAAAGGAAAGCATCACAATAACAGCTGACTGCTCAACACAAACCTTCAAGTCAAGGGAAGCTTGGAGTGAAGTACATAAAGTTCTAAAGGAAAACAACCTTCAACCCAGACTGATATGCCCTGAAAAACTGTCTTTCAACACTGACGCGGAAGTAACACACTTCCTTGATAAAGAATATCTGAGGAAATTTATAATCATCAAATCAGCTCTCAAAAATATTTTGAAAGTCATTCTAAAAAGAAATAAAATGTACTACAACTCTATGAACCCAAACTGAATGAACCCAGCAGACAAACAGAGAGTGGGAAAAAGGGGAGCCAACAACAGGAAAATAACATAAGTTATTATAAGGGATAAGTCAATACATATCAGTTCTATCCATCAATGTTAATGATCTCAATTCACCAATCAAAAGACACAAACTAGCAGAATGGATCAAGATGCAAGATCCAACAATATGATGCATACAAGAAACACATTTAACTAAAACTGTAGATTCATAGATGAAATTCAAAGTATAGAAAACAGTATGCCATGTAACAGGAACCCAGAAAAAAGCAAAGGCACCTATTGAATTTTCAGACAGACAGAATTTCAAGCCAAGACTGATTAAGAGAGATAAGTTCAATATATTGTCATAAAGGCAACAATCCAAGAGGCAGAGATAAAAATCATAAATATATATGCAACAAATATATAACCTGTATACACAATAATATAAAAGAAATAATCTGAAAAATCAAATAAGGCTTAATACAATTGTGTTGGGGTATTTCAGCAAACCACTCTCACAGATCAAGTAGACCAGAAAAAAATCTGAACCAAAGGTTTGAACAAATGGACTTAGTAGATGTCTGCAGAATGTTCGACCTCTTAGCATCAGAATACATATTCTACTCAACTGCACATGGGACATTCTCCAAAATATACCATATACTTGCCCATAGATCAACCTTAAGTAAATGCAAAGGAACCAAACTTATCCCATTCCTTGCATATTATCAGACAATAGTGTAAAGAAATTGGAAATCCATGACAAAAGAAACCATAAGAACTTCACAAACACATGGAAATTAACTGGTACTAATCTGAACAACCAAGGGGTAACAGATAAAATTTAAAAAGGAATTAGACAGTTTTTACAGTTGAATGTTAACAAGAGTACAACATATAAGATTTTATGGGACAGGATGAAAGCAGTCTTAAGAACGAAATTTATAGCAGTAAATACTCATACCAGGAAAACAGACCAAGTACACAGAAACAATTTAATGGTGAAACTCAAACTTCTAGAAAAAGATCAGGCTAAGCCAGAAGCTTGTATAGGGAAGGAAATTATAAACAGCAGAGCAGAAATTATCACATTGGAGATTACAAAATGATACAAATGACCACTGCATCAAAGAGTTGGACACTGTGAATTTAGGCATGAATGAGAACTCCACACTGTCCCCAGTCACCACAGATTTATAAAACCATAAACTTCAAATCACCATAAGTGTTATACAACTAAAATTTTAACAGCTAAAATTGTATGGAGGGGCATATCCATAATCTGAGCATTTGGAAGACTGAGACAAGAGGATCACTGTAACTTCAAAGCCAAACTAAAATACAGAAAGATTCAACTAACAAAGATATTGTTACAAGCCACAAATAATGCCACTGTGAGCAAAAATAGCAGCAAAAATTAATATACCTATATATGAATATATGTGTATTTATACATATGTGTGAACATTGACATATAAATTGGATAATTTGGACATACTGATGTACATATCAAGTTTTGCTGATCTACATAATTATACCATAAAAGTATTGAATCCAGAGAATGAGCAACCAAAATGTGCTGTCCCAGCAACCCCCCATGATGGTAAAATACATAAAAAATTAGAGACAAAGTTTAATGAAAGATACTTTATTTTTGAAGAGGGAATGAGTAGATGGAGAAGACGGATAAGTACTTTGATAAGAAACATTCAGAGCGGGGCTCCAAAAAATGGGGGAATCATCACTCCTTTGTTCCTGGATGCTTGTATTGGGTGGAGACACCACCATACACAGAAATTCCTATACCTGGATAGGCTTCTGGACACCTCTGCATAATGGCACTTTTCATCTTCTTTGTTTCTACTTGATTGTCTCTGACCTTTAGGACTTTATTTTTGGAGTGGACCACTATTTGACAAAGAGATACCTTATTCATCATTAACATACAATTAGTAAGAGGGAGTATGGATGTCTATTGTAGTCTATAATGATGAAATTTATATAGTGACCTAGACTGGATATGAATATAGTGATCCTAGAGTGAATGCATATGTATATGGAAAGTGTGAATATATTTTGTCTTAAACATACTCACTGCCCCTCCCCCATTTGCCTCACCTATATTCTATTGGAGAGAGGGACAGCTTACCATTTGTGTACTTGGCTTTCTCTCTGTGTCCTGCCTGTCAGCTCTTTCTCCACTTCCTTGGTGCAAGTCCTAAGGACATTTGGTGTCTTTTTTTAATCCTTTTTTTCTCTCTTACTCTACCTTTTATCTACAAATTACCCAGGGGAATTTGAGATTTTATGGATAAATCAATGCAACTTGAGACCATATTCATAAGGAAAATAAGTCAGACTTGCTGTGTAAGCAGCATATTGTCTCACTAGTATGAAATACTGAAAGAGTAAATGCCTGATAGATACTGTGAAAGTGAAATGGGAAGAAACTGCTGAAAAATGAAGAGTGTGGGCTTTCATTGTTTATCATTTTTTATGCCCCAGTCTTGTAATCTGAGCAACTACTTTAATGATAAATACATATATGTATTAGCCACTGTTAGTCTCTGATTATTTTCATTTGAAATACTGTATCATCATTTTTATTCTTTTTTCATTTTAAAAAAGATTAGTTAGAAGACATAATGAAGTACCTATTCTATTTATCTACAGAACTGTGACCCTACAGAACACTGTGACCTAGATCTAGAAATAATGACAATCTAATGTGTTATTAAATTGAGATATGAATGAATCTAAAGTCTGTATATGAAGAAACATGTTAGAGCAAAGTTTAGTAAGGCAGAGGAATCAAAGTATAAGCAGAATGGAGGATATATTAGCTAGAATTCTGTACAAAAAAGTAATTTTTAAGGTGAGGGAATCAGTGGTATCACAAGAAAAAACGTGGAATTTCACTATGGTAGTATAAATGGCCTCAATATTTGGCTTTATGTCTAATATTAGTCGTGAGAGAAAAATGGCAAAAGGAAACCTGTAGCATGATCACACATTATAACTTAGAGAATCTGAAGAGCAAGGAAACCCAACATTCAAAGTTTTTTTGTTTTTCCCAGCCCCAAGCTGGATAGTACTTCATTACATCAGAGTTAACAATTTGTACTTTGGTAAAATCAATTTAAAGCCCCTCATGTGAACAATAATGTTTGGATGTTAATCTTTTTAGTTTTGTTTACACTTAGGGAAGATGAAAATTTCCTACGCTGCTCCTGATTCCAATGTTCATCCATTATTTAACTTCATCACTAGTTTTCTGAATTAGCGAGGCTTTTTACATTGCACAGAACAAATCAAGACAGCTTTAAAGAAGGTGAATACAAATCAGGGACAAAAAAAGCTAGCACATCTCTTTTCTTTACTTGAACACCAATTTAAAAACAACTTTTACTCTAAGCCTTGACCTCAATGTTTTAGTAACC